TCTCTCTCTCTCTCTCTCTCTCTCTCTCTCTCTCTCTCTCTCTCTCTCTCTCTCTCTCTCTCTCCCCTGTGCCTTGCTTACTTTGCTCTCTCTCTCTCTCTCTCTCTCTCTCTCTCTCTCTCTCTCTCTCTCTCTCCCCCCTCCCTCATGCTAGAGGTCCCGATGACGCATGATTTCATAAAATTCGGCCTCGCTGATTTCTCCGTCCCCGTCCTTGTCAAACTCTTCTATCATGGAGTTGAGCTCTTGTTCCGATATGTCTTCTCCGATCTCTCGAACGATCCTTCGCAAGTTCTTCATTGTGATTTTACCCGTATTATCATCATCGAACAGTCTGAATGCCTTTGCTATTTCCTCATTGGGATCCCGCTCACCTATCTTCACGGCCATCATGTCCATGAACTCAGACAGAGTCGCCGTCTGATCGTCAGGAGAGCAGTCGTCCTGGCAGTACTCCGACATCAGGCTCCTGACCTCTTCCTTCCTTACATTGAACCCCAGAGCTCGCATCGCCACCTTCACCTGTCTGTAGTTGATTCTCCCCCTCTTGTCCACATCGAAAAGCTCAAACGCTTCTCTCACCTCCTGCCTCTCCTCCAATGTCAGCCCTTTCTTCGCAGAGCCGACTTTCTTCCCTCCATGATTCGCAATCCGAGAAACGGGAGCACCATAGTACACCTGCCAACCGGAGCAGCGCCCTGGGCGGAACGAACCGTTGCTGTCGTTGTTGTTCTTGGTGTCGTTCTTGCTGTTGCTGTTGTTGCCGTTGCCGTTAAGATACCCACCAAAGCGAACTCGATCTGGAACGGCCACAGCATCGAGATCCCGTCGCGTCTGGTTGACTGAAAATTGGGCCCGTGGGACAGATCGATAAATACTGGCAGCGAGCTGACTAAACCGACCATGCTGACTATCGGCGGCGGGAAGGGAATCCCCTAGATTTGACCTGCTGTTGCTGACCGTCATTGCACTCACAGAGCAGCAGGAGGAGGAAGAGGAGGAAGAGGAGGAAGAGGAGGAAGAGGAGGAAGAGGAGGAAGAGGAGGAAGAGGAAGCTCTTGGAGGGGAGGAGGAAGAGGAAGTGGAGGTGCTCGACGGGGACGAGTTAAGAGCAGTTCAACTTACCTAGCTACCACCTTCACCCGAATAGTACGCCCGGTCATTACAGCCGTTTTATTTGGGGCAACTTTCAAGCCAGACGAGGCGGAAATGATCGACCGTTTTATTTGGGTGAAGAAGACGATAGTCTCAAAAACAATCATTTGTGCAAGCTAATCCAGTGACCTGTCCAAGCCTGCCAGCTAGCTTCCACTCCTCTTTCTTTCTATCATGAACCGGCACCGACATGGAGATGCTCGACGGTTTGACATCGTCCTCCTCCCCCTCCTATTTGTGTCTGGGTTCTGCATGTGGTACACGTCCTTTGCTTTCCGGCGTTAAGGGGCAATGAGTCCATTGTGTGCGTTTGCGTTGAGCGTGTACGAGTGCTCTTCGTCTGTGAGCAGACGCAGCAAGGTGAGTGCTATCCTCCTTCTCTTCCCGTGAATAGAACGTACAGCCATCGTCGTTGTATCTCGGCTGAAACTTGCCCCTACCGGTAGTACAGCCATGATGACCATGTGTTATATTCAGGGGAAGACGATAGCCATATACGTTCAGCATCCTCTTTGAAACCAGAGTGCCAAGCCCTTCGACGCCGTCCTCACCCCACTTGCCAGAGCAGACGCTTGGCGTCTGATCTCTGGCCTCATCATTCACTGACAGTTGACCATGCATCAAACGGTACAACAAAAAGAATCCCCGGCCCGGCCCGGCCGAATTCGACGTTTATCTTGAAATAATGGGTTCCAATTTCCAAAATGGAATTCCGAAGATTGCTGCAGAGACAGCACACCAGATGGAAAGGAGAACACATCAGTCAGCAGGTATTTACTAACCCCCCACTTTTGCGCCCCCCAATAATGGGTTCCAATTTCCAAAATGGAATTCCGAAGATTGCTGCAGAGACAGCACACCAGATGGAAAGGAGAACACATCAGTCAGCAGGTATTTACTAACCCCCCACGGGGGGAAAGGAAGCAGAGTAGGGCGAGGCGCAAAGCACCAAAAAAAAAAAAAAAAAAAAAAAAGGAGGAGTGGTTCAACCCCCCTTTTACAGCCTGATGAGTAAATCCAAATTTGAAGCAGTGTTTCCTCTACAGCAGACAATGAAAGGCACTAAAGATGACCAATTCCAATTTTGGAAAGTTTTACCTCTATAGAAAACAACATGAAGCGCAATAAATCCGTTATATTGCCTTTTCCTTTTACGATCCTTTCTCCGCTATCTTTTCTTTGGCTTCCTTCGGGATATGTGTGTGTGTGTGTGTGTGTGTGTGTGTGTGTGTGTGTGTGTGTGTGTGTGTGTG